CCGCGGGAGCAGGCACGGGGCTCACCTGGCCATGGAGCAGGCAGAGGTGAGCGGCCCCCACCGCGGTCTGCGGACACAGGCAGGCCAGCGCGCTCAGAGAGGGATGGAAATGAAACCAAGCCGCCCCTCCAGCACCCCTCTGCTCAGCAAACAGAAGCTGGTTAACAAGAGGTCGGGGTCTCCCAGCTGATTTCAGAACCCACAGCATCGGTACAACACAGCTGCACCAACATGGAGCAGGAAGCAAATCTGATCCAGAGGTGCAGCCTGGACTTTCCCACCTGAGCCACAAGATATCCCAGCATCTCCAAGTGGTGCTGTACTGGGAGAAAACCTCTCCAGTTTTCAAGCCAGCCTTCATCTTCCAGGTGCTCCCAGTTTATTAACCTCAGGTGGCTGCAGGAGGGAGGCTCCTAGTCTGGAGTCTTGCTATGCAGAAGAGCGAGGGTTTTTAAGAAGGCAGCAGCTGCCTGAGAAAGGAGACCCCCCTGCCTTCACCTCCTCTGCCCAGGACCCCCATGCATGGCCATGCTTCACCTGGGACACGTGCCTGCTCGCCACAGCATCTTATGGCACAGGCTGGTGGTGGGCACCCCCTCCTCCCCACACAGCGAGCGCTGCAATTTCTGGAGAAAGGCAAGTAGGAGAAACAAGGAGGTGTCACCAAAAGGCAGCCGGGAGGGACAGGGCACGGTGGCTCCGATGGTGACGGACTCACGACAAAGCTCTGGCAGCACGGCAGCTGACAGGGAACCCTCTGGTGACAAGTCGGATTGGATTCATCACGACTAATTGGCTCCTCCAGTGCCGTGGTACGGGTTTCGAGCGTTGTGTGAGCGGAGTGCCGAGCATCCAGGAGTTAATGAGGATCTGACCCTGCCTGCGCAGCCACTTGAGTTTTTCCGATGCGGACAGCTGGCTTAAGAGGCCCCTTTATTCTTTACATATCAGATCAATCGGGATAGTTATAATTTAGTCCTTGTGAAAGCTTGGAGCAGCCTTTGCTGCCCAGCTAACTCAAGGGGAAAAAAAGCAAGCAAGAGGTAGAGGTCATGATGAACTATTGATCGAGCAGGCGGCGGCGGTGCTCCCAGAGATGGCTTTCGCAGAGAACTCGCCCGGGACAGTTTGCCTCTATATCTCTCGCTAATGCTGCTCCATTGATCTTCCGTGACAGGCAGCAACTACAAGATTTTTTTTAGCTGGAGTCATTAAGCGGCATTAATCAATAACAGGGGAAACAGAGAGAGAAACTGTTTGTTTCGTGGAGATATACACCCCGTGTGGATTTTAGCCCACTGAGGTGCCTATGTTTTATGTCCGGTGGCCAGGAAGGCCTGCCAGGAAAAGAAATCACCTTCTGCCGGACTCTGGCACTTGGAGGAGATCCTGAGCTGATTGCAACACCCTGGCAGCTCCAGCCAGGCTGTGCAACAAGAGAGGACCAGCTGGGGAGTTCGCGGCATCCGATTCCAGCTACCCCAGCATCCTACCTGGCACCCCAAAGCACCCAGACCCTCCGTTCCCACACAGGTGCCCCGGGAAGAGCCTGGGTACTGATTTCTCATGCCCAAAGTACCAGGTACTGATCTGACACGTCCAAAGTGCTGGCTACTGGTTTCGCATTGCGCTTCTGCTAAACCCAGTCGCCGCCTGGCAGCGTTGCTCGGCGATCCAGCCCCGCGTTTGAGCTCAGCCCCTGCCCAGCGGCTCAGCCCACGGTGCTGCTGCTGTAGGCGAGGCTGGGGTTCATTCCTGTGGCAGGACGGAGTTGTTTGCAAGAGAAACGGTCTTTCTGCTCCGAGAGCCCCGGGCTGCACCACTCCCTCCCGCCCTGCCCCAACACACAGTACATTTCCATCGCTCTGCGGCGGCAACACCCGTTTTCCTTCTCCCAGCAGCTCCTGTGCTCAGCCCCAGCAAGTGTCACC